TTGACCACTCTGTTGCCGAAGTCATATTTTCTGCATTCCAGGAATTGACCACTCTGTTGCCGAAGTCATATTTTCTGCATTCCAGGCATTGACCACTCTGCTGCCGAAGTCATATTTTCTGCCTTCCAGGCATTGACCATTCTGTTGCCGAAGTCATATTTTCTGCATTCCAGGAATTGACCACTCTGTTGCCGAAGTCATATTTTCTGCATTCCAGGCATTGACCATTCTGTTGCTGAAATCATATTTTCTGCATTCCAGGCATTGACCACTCTGTTGCCGAAGTCATATTTTCTGCATTCCAGGCATTGACCACTCTGTTGCCGAAGTCATATTTTCTGCATTCCAGGCATTTTACCATTCTGTTGCTGAAGTGATATTTTCTGCAGTCAAGTTTGCAGTGGTTTACCTTGTTTGTATCTATTTTGTGCTTGTGTATTGTTGTGGTCGAAGTTGAAGTAGTCATTGACAGGTAGGACATTGTAGCAGATTATTTTATGTACTACACTTAGGTTGGACCGAAGGTGGCGTAGTTCTAAATTGTTTAAGCCCAAAATTTCAAATCTGGTGGCATAAGTTATTCTGTTGCGAGCAGAGGAGCGGAGGACTCTTCTCCTGAAGTATCTCTGGATTTTGAATAGTGCCATATTTGCAGTGAATATCCTTGCCCTTAGGGAGAAACCCCAGTTTTTAACAAGCGGTCTTTAGTTTAAGCCAAAGTAGTGCAGTTTATTTAAACATCTCCAAACTGTTTTCTCCTCTTCTGAAACTGCAAGCAAGCCCTCAAGCACTTCTATCCAATTATGAAGGTGTTCGCCTTGACGTTTCCAGCATTTTAATTGTTCTTTTTGAGGTAACCACCTCCCTGTCACATTATAAAAAGCTCCTTCTTGATTTCAACAGCAAAGCCTTTTAATATTTCTCCATAGCAAAATATTTTTTCAGTCACAACAAAGTTACAACTTTTGAATGGTCCAGGATGGCAGGTGGTCTGAGGAACTCTGAGGTGCTGTGATATCCTTCCAGGGGGTCAAAATATTTTAATATTTGTTTTAATTTGTAATATAGTACATATCAATAAATGTGTTTATGGTTCATATAGGTCTGCATTTATTGCAAAATATCCAGTTTCATCATGAATTCCCCTAAAAAAAAGGTTTCAAGGCGATGGGAGTTTATTAAAGCCTTTCCTCTTCCTTCCCAACTTCTGTAATGACGCCCCTCAAATGCCTGCCTCCCTTCTCCAGCTGACTTCCGCCAGGTTTGCCTTTCTGGCGCCTTTTCTTCACAGGCGCTTCCGGGTCCCCCTTGCCTAGCCTTGAGGTGAGGGCAGCGGCTCAATGTGGCGGCTTCGGAGGCTCCGAAGAGCGCGCGTGCGCACAGGGGGGGGGGACGGGGTGTGTTTGTTTGAGTGCGCTCCCGCGCCTGCGCCCTGGCGGCCACTCCCGCAGCCCTGGGCAGACAGGGAGGATGCTTGAACTTTTCGCCGCCTCGTTCCCGGCTGGTCGGCGCATGTGCAGAAGCGCTTCCCAAGCGCCCTGACAGCCGGGGCGGGCGAGCCGGGAGCAAGGCGGCCAGCAAAAGAGAAGGCGCCGGGCCGGCATGGAGGGCCAGGGGACCGGAGGGGAAGACCCGCCGGGGAAAGGTACCCCGAGGCGGGGTGGCAGCGGTGGGGGACGTCCCTCGGAGGAGGAGAGTAAGAATAAACCCAAGCTGGTAAGTGTAGAAGGCAGGGTAGCCTCGTTTGCGGATTCAGACGTTATATGAGAAGTGGGTCAAGTCTGCCCAGTTGCCCCTTTGCAAGATTTGGCTAGTCCTTCAGCGCTTCCCGAGTTGCATGGTCCCAGGGAGATCCTGGCTAAGCCACCCCGGGTTTCCAGGTTGCAAGGAGCAAGCAGGGCTTCCTGGTTGTGTGAACCCAGGAAAACCATGACAGAAGCCACTAAGGCTTCCCTTGGTGCATAATCCAAGGGAAATCCTGTTAAACCAACCTGAATATTCTGGTTGCATGTAGCAACCAGGGCTTCCTGGTTGTGTGAACCCCAGAAAACCATGTCAGAAGAAACAAAGTCTTCCCTTGATGCATAATCCAAGGGAAATCTTGGTGAGCCAACCTGTTGCATGAAGCGACCAAGACTTCCTGGTTGGGTGAAACTCAGGAAATTGTGGTGGAAGCCAGAGAGGCTCTGAAAGGATGCTTGAATCAGGCCTGCTGTTGCTTCCGATAAATTGGGGCTAAACAAAGCAGGTTTGGGTTTCTCATTGCGGGTGGGATAACTGTGGCTTGCTAATCAGCCTTCTGCTTTTTGTAGGATCCAGCCTGACCTTGGTAGACCAAAAATCTCTTTGAGTTTGCTAATCTGTGTATTGGGCCTCTCTGAGTAGTTAAAGGTTCTCTGTTGGGTTGTGCCTGAATGATAGAATTATACAATTTCATTTCATTTCATTTATTTTATTTTATTTTATTTAGTTTGTTAAACATGTAAAAGATAGCAGGCATAAGTATAAACATAGACACAAATACAGGAAAT